TCCCTACATATTGTTTACAGGACACCCTGTGGCTTCCATTTAAAAAGAACACTTTGCTTCAAACTCATCTCTACTTCTTTGAATAATAGTTTCTGATTTTTATTCCATTTTGTAACACAGAATGTAGGAAAGGTGGTCCAGAGGTACTCCGTGGCTCAGGACTGTAGTACCCCTGGAGAAAGTAGGGACAGCAGAGAGACTGAACTTTGGGAGAAGATGTCTTCTGCAGCAGAGAAGAAATTAACCATAGAGGAAGACAACAAGGAGGGAAGAAAAGGCATCTCTCGCAAAGGCCAAACATCTTTGGTCTGCCTACCTGGCAATAAGTTTCAGAGAGAAACTTACATGTTGGGAGAGGTGACACATCACAACAAACAAAGGAAGCCGCAGGGCACCTTCCACAGCACTGTGTGTTCGCGTCTCTGAGGAGCTACTGCCCTGCTCAGCTGGGGCCATGGCTGTCGGCAGCACTCTGACCTCTACCAGTAAGTCATTAGCTCTTTGGGTGGCAGCGTGCAGGTGTTCAAAGATTGTATGTGAACTTGCCTACAGTCTAAAACTGAAAAATCTGCCTTTATTTTATAGGCCAATAGGATTGTAGATAATCAAGAAAAAAACCCCCAAAACTTCTAAATGCCAGAGTAACTTTACTTCTGTTATGAGGAGAAAAAATAATTACCCATAATAGTGCTTTGAAATTCACATCAAATAACTTTTCCAAATGCTCATCTGGGCAGTCCAGGAATTTTTTGCCTATTACGATTCCGGCATTGTTGATTAGAATGGAGACATCGCCTACTTCTTTTTTAACCTGAATGGAATAACAAGAGCAATAGCACTAAGGCAATAACCCCTTATACGATTTAGGTTTTATTTTCCATAGTTTGATTTTTTCTTATTCCTTTAAGCTCAGACCTTATAACAGAGTTCGGTTTATTTCCCTTGTTGGCCTTACAGTACGCCAGAGATCCAATCCTGATGTTTTTCTTTTCAACTCTTCTTTGTTAAGATGGTCCCAATGTTGAAAGGCTACTTACCTCTACAGTTAGGAATTTTTTTCCCCCGCACACTCCCCTCCCCAGGGTGAGTGTGCTTGCTGGAGAGAGACAGAGAGACAGAGAGGAAGAGGGAGAAGGAGACACTGCAAGCCCTTCTACGTTTCTCTATCCTGTTGGAGTTTGGGGCATGCATGCACATGCACCCAGTATGTTTCAAGCCACTGGTTCCAGGATTTGAACTGCACAGTTTGTCTTGTGGGATTTGGCTTTCTTAAACAGTAGGCCATGAGGCCAGCTTACAGCTTTTCTTGTCAAAACTTGGGATCAGCAACTTTGTTCTATGCTCTGTATAAGTGGCATATCATTTTAATCAATGTAAGGGGACAGAAGAATAGCTTTATCATAGCCGCGTGTCATATATTGGGTCACTGGAAAGGTCATGATGCATTTTTGCACAGAAAAATGGGTCATGACTTTTCCGACAACCCAATAGATCAAGATTTTTAACACATTTGGGGAGGGGATGGAGTAAGGGACCAAGGAAGGAAGAGGGTGATAGACATCTCAGACAGGTAGCACAGCAGGAGTTCTCTGAGCGGAGGGCTGCAATGGATTCTGTTGGATGCTGTAATATTGGTCATGGAAGGAAATAGCAATCTGGAGCTTTCCCTTATCGCAGAGTTTCAGTGTGGGACCCTGGCTCTTACAGGAAAAGTGGGCACAGAATTTTCCAGGATGGTGAAGGAAGCAGTCCTGTCCCTCTGCTCTCCTCGGTAGTCTGAATTTTATCACTGTAATTCATTTCACACCACAGGGCCCTGGACTCGAGAGTCAGAGGGAGCTGCCACTGCAGTCGAATGTGCTGTGGATGAGGCTCACACAGCACCAGTGACCTCTCCAGCTGTGTATGTGCATGTGTGTACACTCGTGTGTGTGTCTGCACCTGTGCGTGGTGTCAGGAGAACATACCACTATGGCCTGGTGGGAACTTTCATCGTTCTCATCTACTGTTGGGGAAGGTGTGGGCCCTCGTGTGGGGGTCAGGCTGTGCTAGGTGAAATTTGGGATTAAGAAAGAACTATGAGAACCTCACATGTGATGTTAGAGTTGTCAGATAAAATCACTGGGATCAATTTAACATATCATCTGCCTTGGAGAGTTGCTAAAATATTTTGTCAGATCCAACCTCAATTGTAGTCAAGGTTAGAAACAACTAGCTAAGCCTCATCTGAGGCAAAATAGAAAGTTAGGAAGATGTGGGCAGAGGATGGCACGGGGGCATTAGAAGCTGATACCCTGGCTCAGGGTCAGGGATGGCAAAGCGAGGGGTCACACAGCAGGAAATGAACAGGTACACTTCCTTGATTTGGTAACTGCAAATAACACAGTAAAATGCTCACACTTGAAATGAGAATAAACTTGTGGGCATTGCACTGTTTCTGAAGGGCCCAGGTATAACATCTAAAACCGAATGCAATGGATTCTAATGTTGATGTTTTTTAAAAAGTTCTACAGGGCACATGTACTCCCTAGAGAGAGAGAGAGAGAGAGAGAGAGAGAGAGAGAGAGATAACACCTCCCCAGCAGGATGACCACACCATGACTCCATTCTCCACTCAGGATTTTGGGCATGCATGCACACATGCCTGGCATGTTTTTCAAGCTGCCAGGTCTGAGACTCAAACCATGCAGTTGGCTGTGTGGAATCCAGCTGCCTAAGCCACCATGCCATGTGGCTGGCCCCAGATTCTAGATTTTTTTTGGAGAGGGTTTCGCTATAGGGCGTGTGCGCTCGCCAGACAGACAGAGACAGAGAGACAGAAAGCAAGAAATCAACCCCCCCAGGGGGGATGACCACGCCTCAATCCCTTCTCCTCCATTCTCCTCTCGGGATCTTGGGCGCACACGCGCCCGATGTGAGTTTAAGCCACCGGGTCTGGGACACGAACCACAGTTGACCATGTGGGAGTCCAGCGACATAGCCATTACGCTAACTGCTGGTCCCCCAGATTCTAGTTTTTAAGCTAACTTTCTTTCCTTGCATCCATTATTCTCCCTATCGTAAGAGTGAGGCAACAGTTCATTTGACCCTGAATGGCAACTCTCACAGGACGCACAAGAGCTGTGCCTCTCTCTTTGCTGGAATTTCCCTGCCCATACCTATGTCATGAAAGCAAGATCCCACTCTAAGGTCCTTGTACTGCCATGCCTGTCAGTGTCCAATTTGCGTCCGCCAGGATGGCTGATTTGAATTTCCAAGCACTGCTTACTAGTGGTAGCTGGCACTAGAAACAGATGCTCCTATCAGTGATCATGCAGTTTAAGGCATGAAACAGTCATGTAATGTGATCTTGAATATTGGGAATCAGCCATCAATTTTACAGATGCTGTCAATAAATTCCCGTGTTTAGTCATTTTTGTTGTTAAATGTAACAAAGCAGTCAAAGGTATGCCTAGTCAAGTTGACTCAGACTTGTCTTATCTAAGGACTGCAGTCATTCAATATACAAAGGCCAGCCAATGGTGCAGCAGGAACGCATCGCCCTGTGACTCTGGACCCACATGGAAGGTCCTGGCTGTGCAGTCCAGGCCTCGCTCTATAGGCTGCCCAGGTTGGGGCTGGATCATGGTGGAAGAACACTGTTGTGGGTGACTCTCTCTGACTCTTTCATGAAAGAAATAAAATGAAAATATGTAGTTAGGACACTTTCACATGCCACATCAAGGACAAGAGACAACTACATAGTTCTAGTGTTTATTGTTCAAAATAACCTCTCTTCCCCAGGTGCCAAGTAGCAAGGCTGAACTTTATGAACTCAGGGCTAAGCTGTGATCTAAGGATGCAAGCTTTCCAAGTCACTGAAGACCCAGAGGCAATGAAACACTGTGGTCACACTCTGAAAAATTTCCTCTCCATCATTGTCTATTGTGTACTTCCAAAACCCTCTGGGACTTTTCTACCACCCAGAATAAGAAGTACAATGGTTGGTTTAAAAGGGTGGGGGTGCTTTCTGAGTTCAGAAGAGCACATGATTCCTTCTCTTCAAGCCCCTAGACTAATAACAGCTGAACTACAAGCTAGTCATCTGACCTGTTTGACCATTTCTGAAGCCTAGGAGAAAGGGTGGGTAATTATTTAGAGAATGCTTCTTGCTAATGTGACACCTATTGAAGGTTTTTAGTGCTCGGATATGACCTGGAGTTTGCCTGAGACTGGCCTGGGAAGTCTGTAGTCAGTATAAATCAATGTGTCAGGTGAGCGGCTCCTGGCATGAAAATAGCTGAATTGTGAGGCTGGGCACAGCAGAGACTGCGAGTTGGCTGACCTTGGAAGGCAGTTCCAGCCTAAACATGTGTGAACTTGTTGGGGGTGGATCTTAAGACTGTACTCAGCAGTCTGTGAGTGGAGATGTGGAGATGGTGGGAACAGAGATATACATGTAAAGACATACTTAAAAACCAAAACTCCCCGTCAGCGACCTGCAACTCTTTCCACTCTGAAATGATAGGAAGCAAAGGGATTGTGTGTGAGCCTAGAACGTCACATATAGTTGGTTACCCGTAGCAGGTTCATCTGGCTCCTCCCTTCTCACTAACGTGGGCAATTCTGGGGGCCACAAAGTGGCTCAGGAGAGGGATGTGCAGGGTATGCATGCCAATGTGAAGGCACAGAAATCCTTAGGAGGGGAAGGTACATGCCTCCATAAATTAGGACACTCCCAGTTGTCAGCATATCGGAGCTCTGGGTTCCTGAATGCTGTCTTTATATGTGCATCTGTATAATCACCAAAGAAGCAATCTAGCAAGTTTAGCAGATTTGTTTTTCTTGAGAATTTATTTAGTTCTTTATTTTGCTATAGGGTATGTGTGCTTGCCGAGACACGGAGAGAGACAGAGATAGAAAACAAGAAATCATTCCCACCAGGGAGGATGGCCATGCTGCGATTCCTTCTCTTCTCTTCTTCTCTTAGGATTTTGGGCATGCACACACAAGCTGCCAGGTCTGGGACTCAAACCACAGTAATATTCTGATTTTCTTAAGAAAAACACAGTTGGGAACCAGCAGATGGAGTAATGGTTACGTCTCTGGATTCCTAATCAACCATAGTTCGAGTCCTGGACCTGGAGGCTTAAAACTCACGCTGGGCATGTGTGTGTGCATGTCTAAAATCCTAAGAAGAGAACAGAGAAGGGATTGCTACATGGTCATCCCACCTGGGGGGGGCGGTTTTTCACTTTCTGTCTCTCTCTCCAGTGAGCACACACACCCTATAGCAAAAACTTCTATTAAAAAAAAAAAAAAGAAAGAAAAACACAATTGGAGAAAGGTATTGTGGCAAGAGGATATTGCCTAGGTTCAAATTCAAACTAAATATGATTTCAAATTGCCTCAGTCAAGCACCAGCTCTGTGACTCTGGGCAGGGTATTTAACATCTGTGTCTTGGTTTCTTTATCTTCAAAGAATGTTAGCACCACTATTTATCCAGTGAGGGGCACTAGTACAGTCCATACAGTGCAGGGGTGAGGAACACACACCTAGGAGCCAATGAGCTCAAGTACCAGCTGTGGCTTGTTACTTATTAGCTGTGCATGTGTGTTTTTTAATTCTTCTTCTTTTTACATTTAATCACTGTATATCATTGCTGCATACAAAATGAGTTTTCTCAGCATAAATATACTGTGTATTAGTCCAGTCAAAATCAGTACCTTACACATTGTCATCAGCAGTCACACAGCTGCCCTAAACCTCAGTCTCAGTCTCCTTTTCTGTTGTTGGGTTTTTTATTTTTATTTTTTCAGAGGTTGTTGCTATAGGGTACATGTGCTCACCAGAAAGACACAGAGAGACAGAGAGACAGAAAGTGAGAAATCACCCCCCGGGGGGGGATGGCCATGCCACAATCCCTTCTCCTCAATTCTCCTCATGGGATCTTGGGCACACACAAACATACACGTGCCTGTTGTGAGTTTAAGACACTGAGTCTGGGACTTGAACCACGGTCGACCACATGGGAGTCCAGTGACATAGCCATCATGCCAACTGCTGGTCCCTGCTTATTTGTGAAGTGGGAATACTTGTGGGTTTTACTTTATATGGTTTTGACATCACACATACATGGGTACCTAGTGCAGTGTCTTGCATGCAGAACTCCAAAATCCTAAAATTCCTACTTCCCCCATATATATAACTAACACACACAAACACACAAACACACACACACACACACACACATATATATATATCACATATATAAATAATTAAGGGGACATCAGAGACAGGCAAATAAACAACTAACCTGATACATTCCAAGTACTTACTTAGGGTTTTTATGGCACCCCCAAAGCAATAATCATCCGAGGTTTACCTGCTCGGCCACTCGATACACTTCTTCCCTTCGACTGCAGTCACAGGTGTAGGCATGAACTCTCGTGGCTCCAGCTTTCTGAACCATCTTGCACGTCTCCTCATTTCCCTCCTTATTGACATCCCAGAGGACAAGCACAGCTCCCAGGTGGGCAAACTGCAAAGCTAAGAGCCTTCCCAGTCCACTCCCAGTGCCTGTTATGAGGACAATTTCCCCAGCAATGTTCTTCCGTGGCTTTCTGATTAAGCTGAAAACCATAGCTTCCCAAACAGAAAACAGTACTTTTCCCACTAAAATGAGTAAGTCCTTTGCTGACTTCATGTTGGAAGACATGTCCTGGCTGACATAAAGAAAGACAGATTCATATGAAGACTTACGCTCTAAAGGAAGACTCTCATTTAAAATTCATTTATTTCTCTCGTGAGAGAGAGGCAGAAATACACATCCAGAGAGGCACCCTCAGTAGTCCACTCCCAGCCTTTCCTGGCCAGGCAGGACTTTGCAGGCACATGCTCATAGGCCTGGTAGATATGGGTCTACCTGGGACTCCAACCCTGATTTTCCATTCAGCCTCCACCATTGCAGAGCCGAGTGGTACCACTGTACCACTGCGGCTGGACCAGGACTCTCACTGTAAATACGCAGTCACGTGGCACGTACTTGCACACGTGCAAGGCTGAGGGTCAGACTGCGTGCAGTCATGGCACACTCTGGGCACCCTCCCTGGCAGCAGTCTGGGCACTGCCAACACTTCTTCCATTACAGAAATCCACACCATGGTGACTCAGGCTGCAATGTTCCCTTTCAGGCACATCATGAGGTGAGTCCACACCAGGACAGAAGTCTCACCACTGACCTGGATGACATGAACATTCTTAACATCAGGGCATGCTAGACTTCTATATTCCACCGTCTCCGCATTGGCATGACCCAGGACTGGAATGAGGTCTCCCCTAGGTGGCACAGTTGGCGCAATGGGACAGCAATGGGACGAGATCCTGCCAAGGATGTTTCTCTCTCTCTCTCTCCTGCACACTCATGCACTCTCTGGTATGAATAAAATAAGCAAGCAAGTCCATGCTCTATCCCCATGGATAGGTTCTTACCAGATTCTTAAGAGCTTGGCAGCCTGAAGTCACCCCATAGGGGGTTTAGGGTCCCTGCTGTGTACCTGCATAGGCAGTGAAGTCTAGAGATTATGGTTTGAGTGGGAATTCTTAATCTGTCCCTGCCTTTCTTTGCAACTTTCTAATCATTTCATCTCTTGTGCCTGCTTCCTTCCCCTAAAGGAAGAAAGGTACATATCATACTCACTGCAGAGGGGAGCTGTGAAGTTAAACAATGTAATACAAGTAAAGTATTAAAATCTGTGGTAAGATCACTACTAGCTAGTATGAAACTTCCAAGCAACTGGGGCTAAGCACTGCCCTGCACACAGCCCTCTGCAGGGTGCTGAGGTGAGGGGTTGGGTGCAAAAGGAGCTGGCTGGACTTCAGCACCACCAAGCTTACACAACATCCCGGTCTGTAATCTGGTTCCCACAACGTGCCACAGCCATAATGTGGAGATCTTGCTAACACAGTGCCCAGCACATAATGACAGCAAAATAAATTAGTTAGAATTATGACTGCGGTTCCTGCTAGCATAAGAACTGGCCATGCCTGACCATACCAGATGGTTATATTAAGTACATTTACTAACAAAAGTGAGTGCGCGGTTCTATCTTATTGCAGAGACTCGTAGAAAGTTACAGAGCATGTTCAATTTAGTCCGGTTGAAGACTTCTTTGGTGTCTCCATCCAATGCCCATTCAGTCAAAAAGCTGAGCAGATCTGGCCAACCTAAATGTCAGCCACCTGCTTCCTAGGACAGGGAAAGCAGCAGGTGTGCATGGTTAAGGCCCTTGGTGGGGCGCTCCTAGTGGCGGGGATGAGCGGATAGATAGAAGCAGATAGAATGAACAGTTTCGGTAAAGGAGTGGGCTGGGCGAGGTGGGGAAGAAAGGTGGGGAGGAGGAGGTGGAGGCCCTGAGCAGCAGAGACAGGGAACCCGTACAGAGTGACCCAAGGAAGAGGAAACAGGAAGCGTCTCTCCTTGCGCACTGGCTCGGGAGGGGAGCTGGCTGCTCACGCCTTGGCGCTACCGCAGGTGCAGCAGCCCTGCCTCCCTGGTGGGGCTCGCCGCCCACCGCCGTCGTTAACTGCGGGCAGCAGATCTGACTCTGGCTGCGCCGCCTTCTCTAGGAGCCATCCCCTCAGGAGCCGGCGACCTCAGCAAGGCAACTCACCCTAGACACGCTGCCCTCACTGCCCACAGAGAAGATGGTCTCGCCCGCGTCCCAGGCTTGCAGCTCAACGAAGTCTCAGGCGTCGATCCCGGCGTGCATCCCAGCCCCTGCCTCTGGGCGGGCCTGCCAGGGCATGGGTGGGGCGTACGCAGCCGGCCCGCGGAGAGGACCGGCACAGCTTTTTTTTTTTTTTTTCCCTTAGGCCGGCAGATGTAGAAGCCGGAAATTGAATCCTGGAGATTGGATACGCTTGCAGGGATTTCTCATAGGTTCAAAATTTCCGCTGTCCAGGTTGCACCGTGAATTTTAAATCAGAGTCTGTGGTTTGGAGGGCCCGGGCACCAGCATTCACAACGCCCCACAGGAGTTGGCACGGCGCAGCTCCCGGTGGTGGGTGGTGGTAGAGAAAAGGTGGCAGGGTCGGGGTGCCCACGGGCCGGGTCGCTCCTCTGCAGCCTGAAGGGCTGGGCGCCCTGCGGAGGTCTCCAGCATTACCTGACTTCTCACATGGGACAACACCTCAGAGCAGTTAAGGAATGTGGGCTTAGGCCTGGCAGCCTCCAGGAGGTGGCTGCTTTGGCGATGGGACTAGGTGTAGCCCTGGCAGGCAGCCAAGAGAAGAGGGCTAGGGAAGTTTTTTATTTTTATTTTTTAACTAGGCCAAGTTGAGAAATACAGTCATGTCCAGACTAGTACCATGGACTCCCACTCAATCAGTATTTACTGACTATATTACCTGTGTCCAAAGATCCAGAAGACAGAGCAAAGATAGATGTTAGGAAAAGAAAAAGATAAACATCCATTAATAACATTTTTTGGGCTGGCAGGTGGCATGTTGGTTAAGGGCACTGGACTACCCCATAGCCCACTGTGGTTTGAGTCCTGGACCTGGTGGCTTGTTTCGCATCTCTCTCTCTCTCTTCGTCTCCGGTCAAATTAAAATAAATAAATAAAGTTAAATATAAAAACAATTATTAAATGATCTGGGGCAAGCAGGTGACATGGTGGTTAAAGTGCTGGACTCCCACATGGTCGAACGTGGTTTGAGTCCTGGACCTGGTGGCTTGCTTTCTCACTTTCCCTTTCTCTCTCTCACTGTCTCTCTCTGGTCAAATTAAAAAATAACAATAATAGCAAATGTAATGAAATAATTCTAAAAAAATTATTAAGTGAGCTAAAATAGGTGTTAGTCACACTGCAATGCTTTATAACAGAGGATGGTGCTTGATGGGTGGCCTCGGAACAGAAAGACAAGTTGTGGAACAAAGGAAAAACAGGGAGTCATGGTGAGGCGAGGTCTGGAAGTAATGAGAGGTGAAGACTGCGAATAGCCTGCCTGTACCTGGGGCAGGCCTTAGTTGTGCTCTTTATTTGAGTGAGAAAAGAAACGCTGTGGGGCCGGCAAGTGGTATGGTGGTTAAGGGCCCTGGACTCCCACATGGCTGACTGTGGTTTGAGTCCTGGACCTGGAGGCTTGCTTTCTCACTTTGCCCCTCTCTCTCACGCTGTCTCTCTCTGGTCAAATTAAAATAAATAAGTAAATTTAAATAAAATAATTCTTAAAAGAAAGAAAAGAAACAGACCACATGAACCTGGAGAGTAGGCTCAGGGGAGAGCAGGGAGGTCCTTTGAGTGCGTGTACCCAGGTGCCTCTGGGTCTATAGAAGAAAGGTACCTCACCTGTCTGAATGGTGAGTGTCAGGGTGACGTAAATGGTGTGTTTCAGGAGAACAAATATCTATCAGAATCTAGAAAGGTTTCTACCTTCGGACCCAATTCTACCTATTGGACTTCATTTTAGTGAAAAAATCAGGTATTGGTTGTTGCCTTTAGGAAGAGGAACTGGTTGCCGGGAATCAGGACTGTTAAAGACTTTTCACTTCATTGAATCATGCGAATGTCTGACCTTTTCAGAAAAGAATTAATAAAAAAATCGACCATTGGTTATTAAAAAGCATGTGCAGATGGCATACTCCATAGTTATTTTTTTATAAAATCATGTTTTTCAAAGGTATAGAAATCATGAGTCAAATGATAGGAGTCATATTATGTGAATATTAAAAATATAGTACAAGGGACCAGTAGATGGTGTAATAGTTATGTCATCAGACTCTCATGTAGTCGACCGCGGTTTGAGTCCTGGACCCAGTGACTTGAAACTCATGCCAGGGACATGTAGGTGTGTGCCCAAAATCCCCAGAGGAGAATGCAGAAGGGATTACAATGTGGTCATTCCCCCATGGAGGAGGGGGGTGATTTCTCACTTTTTGTCTCTCTTTATCTCTTTGCATGCATCCTATAGCAAAAATCTCTCTCTCTAAACGCACACACATACAGACACACACACACACATATAGGTATATATATATATAGTACAAGACTAAATATATGCCATGATCCTAATTTTTAAAGAAAATTTTATTTATGGGCATTAAGAACAGTTGGAAGTAAATTCACATCTTAGCATTTCCCATTATTAACTAATAACATTATTTTTCTTTGTGATTTTTTTATATTTTCTAAATTTGCCATTATGTACATATTTTTATTTCATAATAAAAATGTTTCTGAGGATGTATATATACAGACATTTCCAGTCCAGATGGCAGACTGAGCATATGCATTTATAACCTATTTTCTTCCAAAATTCCATTTAAAAGAAAGAGAGGATATACAAATGTAAAAAAAAAAAATACATAATAGTGCTAGAAAAGAAGATAGGGTTGCCAGTGAGGGCTGACTAGTTGGTAAGCTGAGGGATCCTATTTCTAGAAATCAGAGAAAAAAGATACCTTAAGTTCCAAGGCACTGTAGGAATGAGTCATTCTTCCCCACAGAAACCATGAGTAACTCCAACTCAGTAAACAACACAAAGAGTGAAAATGGGACATGGGGGGGGGGCACCCAGATGAAATGAGTGTTAACAGTAAAAAAAAAAATATATTTAATAAAATATTGGAAAATTGTTTTTGTAAGTTGGGACTAGAAAAGAAAAATAAAATCCCAGAAAGCATAAAGTATTGATATGAGTATATAACAATGTACATATCTTTAAGAAAAAAATATAAGCAGAGTAGAAGGGTAAGCCAGAATCTAAGAGAAAATGTTTTTTGTGGAAAGAATTAATCATGGGAACCAGCAGTTAGCATAATGGCTATGTCGCTGGACTCCCACGTAGTCGACTGCGGTTCGCGTCCCGGAGCCGGTGGCTTAAAACTCACGCCGGGCGCGTGTGCGTGCATGCCCAAGATCCCAAGAGGATAATAGAGGAGAAGGGATTGCGGCGTGACCATCCCCCCTGAGGGGTGATTTCTCGCTTTCTGTCTCTATGTCTCTCTCTGTTTGGCGAGCGCATGCGTCCTATAGCAAAAACCTCTCCAAAAAAAGAAAAAAAAGGAAGAATTAATCATAGCTAATGAGCCATAATATATAGCATTTATATACACCAACTTGAATAGGACAGTAGAAAAATATCGCTAAAGGAATGCACAGGCAATCCATGATGAATAAACACTATTGTGCCCCAGTCACGAAGTTCCCAAAAGACCACCAGGGAGCCGTTCCGATGTAAGCACATGAGGGTCGCTTTTATTCAGGCTCAAGCCAGGACTCCCAACCTCACCTACACAGTGGGTCAGAGTTGAGAGCCCTGCATGTTGGTTGGACTGGGTTTTTATTTGGCTGTTGGGGTGGGGAGAGGTGGAGGGGTGCTGAGGAATGCACTCAGGTGGTTACACATTGGCTGTAGATTACAGAGAGTGTAGCTGTCTCACAGAGTGTAGCTGTCTCTGGTATCTCCTTTGTTTCTTTCACTGGTCAGTCCCAGTGGGGTGATGTTCTCATGACTTTTTCTTACGACTTTTTCTTACGTGACTGGCTCGCCTCCTTGAAATGGCGCTGATTCTAAGCAAGGTGGGTTTAACGAAATGGAGTCACCCTGAAAGAAATGGAGTCACTCTGGCCCTTCATTTCCCCCTTTCACAAATACATAGTGGAGCCAATCATGGATCCCTGTTATTGAGCTCTATAGGGTCCCAGTCAGGATGGGCTGATTCTATGGTCTCTAGTTGCTGGGCGCAGTTGCTCATGCACAGGATTGTCTGGTTGGATGGCCTGGGCCAATGTTCACAGTATGCAGTCACCAGGTTCAAGTACTTACAGGGAGCTGTGACACAGCTCTTTTTGAGACAATGCAAGCAGTTTACAGAAGCAGGACAGCACTTGGTTAGGTATTTACAGAAATAAAATTTCTCAGAAAACAGAAATCATTATCATTTTTCTCTTTGAGTCTCTGCAGATATCTGTTAAGGAGAGTTACCTTGATAGTGCAGTGCCTGGTATACTGGGCTCTAGGTCCAGAGGCAACTAGCATCCAATATTTAAAGGCCTTTATCCATCTCATGAGTAAGCAGCAGCCCGTCCTTTCTCCAACCGTCTGGTCGTGGAGCCGCCGAGTCACACCCTTGACAATGTCCGACTTGCAGTCACCCCCTGGATGTACCACACAGGGCTGCCGCTCTCTGGTCTCTGAAGCACCATCATAAAGGACCCTCTTGGCCCATCTTTATGGACCAAGGTTCTGGTGAGTCCGTGGAAGCAGTCCTCTTGGCTTTGGTGTGACAGACTCACAGGCTCACTTTACAACTATGTGAGGCCCCTTCTAGACTAGTTGGAGGGGCTCCTCTCTTAGTTGTTTCACTGTATATAACATTTAAAGATAGTACAACCAGCTCCAGAACACTGACTTGATCAATTCTTGTAACTTTTTCTGATTTTTGTAACACAACTCAAACATTCAACAACATGCTTCACACCTTCTAGTTTGTCTCCTTTTTCTCCCGTTTTGATATAGTCATTCTATTTTCAGACAAAAACTCACTATACAAAATTCTTTCATTATGAAAACTTTTTCTTTTAATCTTTTCCATTAGAACTACATTTTTACAGCCATAACCCTTCTTTTAGATTTTTTTTTTGAGAGGTTTTTGCGATAGGGTGCGTGTGCTTGCCAGATAGACAGAGAGAGACAGAGAGACAGAAAGCGAGTAATCACCCCCCAGGAGGATGGCCACGCCGCAATCCCTTCTCCATTCTCCTCTCGGGATCTTGGGCACGCATTCACACGTGCCTGGC